CTTTAAATTCTATTTATAGGAATATTGGAATAAATTAAGTAAGAATTAAATCTTTATTTCATTCACTCACAAAAATAAAATATATTGTTAATATAGAATATTTATAAATGAATGAAAAAAAACTTTTAAACTGTAACATTGGGCCTTATTACATGCATATGAATATAAAATAAGATCCAAATAAAAAATAAATAAAAAATAACAAAGATAATAAACATTATCTTTTAAAATGAGTTTTAAAATGATTATTAAGCATAAAAAGAAAATTCCTTAGGATTTACTCTACTCTCAAATATTACAATTATATAATATAATTATTATATTATATAATTTATTTTGTCTGCAATTAACTCTTTAATCTTTGGAAATCTAGCAATTTGAATGCAATTTGAGCTTCTTAAAAGAAGCAGCATTGAAAATTCTGCATAAACCTCAACACAAATAACAATAGTCATAATAATAATAATTACATTAGTGGACTTTATTTAATGAATACATTATGATATATGATGAAGTATTGTATGAATACATACAATACTTAAAAAAAATACTTATACTTATTTGAAAAAATTGATTTATTTGTTATTTTCCATAGTTAGGAAGTTGAATATAATATTATAATGTATTATAATGAACTATGAAACAATGTGTACTGGTAAACTTTGCAACAAATTTGTTATAAAAATGGCTCATATATATACACACACACACACACAAGTTTTTGTTGTGTTAAACAAGTGTGTCGCTATTGACTCAAATTCTTCAATTTCTTTTTATTTACTTTCTATGACACATCTTTTAGAGTTTTCAGCATATACTTTAGGTGTGTAAAGCATGTTTTAAAATAATAAATGTAAAAATGGGTTTTATTTAATACTGAGCTTTATTCAACTCATAAGGGAAGTATGCTCATATGCGAAAGTAATTATCATCGAAACAATAAAATACATAAATCAACGAATAAAGAAATTGACATGATTGATATTTGTAACATTATTTGTAACAAATTATAAATAATGTTAAGAGTTATAATAATTTTTATTATTTCTCCTTAAAGTGAATAAAACTTTTTTATTCATCTTTGTACATTACTTCCTTATAATATCTATTAAGATTATTCTTATTTTCAGTTTTATGCTTTAATATCTTAGTTATTTGTCGTTTATGTAATAATTTCAAAACATATATATTAAATTAATTAATAATGAAATCATTTGTAAATGTTTATACACAATAAATTTATTTTGTATCGTTTACTCATTACAATAATGATACTTGATGAAAAAAATGTTTTAAACATAATGATTTCTTGCATCACGAACTTTTTACTACAGCCATATTATTGCAACCTTCGATATCACATTGTTAAACTTTTGTCAAAACTAAATTCTACTGAATTTTACTGGATTTTCAAATTCTTCTGGTCTTTCGTTTGTATAACCACTTTTAAACCAATATTTAAATAAATTGTGATATTGCGAGGATGATTATGTATCAGAGATTGTAATTTTATTATATTATTTTATTATATTATTTTGTTCATGTCAATTTATATTACTTTCCAATAATAAAATATCTGAAAATCTTTTAGCAAAATTTTTCTAAATTCTAAATCCATAAACATCTAATAGGTGTATTTTCTCTGTTGTGTCTTTCAGTATAATCATAGTAATAATATATTTTCCTGCAGGTGTTAAATCTGAAATAATATTGAGATAATCCAGTCCATAAATCGATAAGAAGAATGCTTATTAGAACTAATATTTGTAAAATAAGCTTCTTCTAATCACATTTTAAAATGGTCTGTAAGAAATATAAATATTAAATTAATAACTATTTTATAACTGTTATGAAATTCTTAAATAAAATATAAAATATATCACAGAAATAAGACTTATAATTTCATTACATTATTTCATTTATACAAATTTATATTTATTTTTTAATAATAAAACAGTATCTGAAAATGTATTGTAAAAGGAAATTTATTTAATTATCTGAAATCATTTTATCAGATTTCGATGCTTTTACAATAACATTTATTGGTGTAAATAAGATTTCTTGTACTTTTGATCCAAATATACCAGTAATTTCTTTCAATACAATAAATAAAGCAAATTTCCATTACACGATATTATTGATTGTATGGTGTATGAGTATGTTATGTTGTTGATGATATAGATTGCACAATACACTCTACTTTCTTTATTTCTTCATTAGACAGTGACCTTCCAGAATGAATTTCCAATTGAAAATCACTTTGATCAGAATTAAAAACATTTTCAGATCCGAATTGTTCGATAAGTGATTTCACTGTTTTTAGAAAATTATTAGCTGTATTCAACTCAACGGAATCTTCTATTGTTCTTTTAGTTACAAATTTCGTAATTTTTCTCGAAACAATTCGGTGAGATTTCTTAAATTTTGATACTCAACCATGAGATGTTTTAAATATAGAGTTTAAATTTCCTATTTCTTCTTAAGCTTATAAAGCCCATTTTTATAGATCGATATCATGAACTATGAATTCTGATTCAACAATTGCAGTAAATTTATTATGTGTAAATTTGGAGATGTAAGATAATTTTTCTATACGATTTTCACTTAAATGTAATTGTTCTTCCCATCGTCTTAATTAATGTTCAGATCAAAATTCTTCTAAATTTATTTTGCACTGATTTTTTGCGATTCCTTTTATTTTTATTTTTTTCATTAATGTCCCAATTCCTAATACTCAACAGCTTTAATAAGAACTGTCAAAATCTACGTCATTATTTGAACATTGAGAATGAGAATTTAAATTATCTTCACTCCACTTTTTTATCATCTTCAATTATTTCAAAATTATGTAGTTTATAAGGTTCTTGATAATCGAGATAGGTTTCTTCTGTTACTTCCAATCCATCATAGTGAAAAATGCTATCTAGCAATAATTTTTGTATATTTTCTTTTAATTCTATTTCTTCAGTTATTGGTGTTTCTGTTAGATATATTGAACTTATATATATAGATACTAATAAAAGTCTAACAACATTAAGCAGATTGATAATCATTTCCAAAGATTAAACTTGACTTTGAATATGTAAAAACAATTTAACAAATTGCACAGATATGATAAACTGCACTAAATATAAAATTGTTACGTGAATATTCTTATATTGTCCATTTATACTTATCTTGAATGTACATGTAATTTTATATCATATCTTATGTTATAATTTATTTTGAACACGTTATACTTATCTTATAATCGAAAGTGCATTGAATTGTTAGAAAATAAACTTATTGCGAAAAATATTGCCTCGCACGGAATGCAAGAGATCCAGATTCGAGGCAGCATTTTTCGCAATAAGTTTTATTACAGTTTTTTAAGATTAAATTTGGAAGAAATTTGGAATTTTTTTTTTTTATTAATATTTCAGATTGAATATTTCAGATTGCGTTGAAAGTCCGACAATTATATCGGCACGCAATTATAATTTTTGAAATTATATATTCATTTAAATGAATATATATACATATAATAGTTCAACATCTTAACATTCAGACTGCAGTGGCGTTTCGTATTTAGTATATATATATATATATAATATAGTACACACACACACACACACACACACACACACACACACACACACACACACA